TCAGAAATATAAAACAATTTTGAACCTTCAGGAAATAGAACATTTTTATTAATAAGAATAGTTCTGATTTTTTTTAACATTAACAATATTTTTACAATTAAAATTTGGCTTATTTATACTAATTTATAAATGTCAATTTGTAGGACATTTCAAAAAGGTTTTGTTCTTTCTTGGAAAAGACAGAGTTTCCAAAACATGAAACAAGCCACCAATCAAGACCCAGGCATGCTGCCTACGCCTGTTTCAGCTTAAAACTTGGAACACAAATGGATTTTAACCTGCAAGTCAATAGAGTGAAACACATGCTGTTCATAGCAATAGAGGAACTGTTTTCTTTTAAACCAACCAACTCAGCATTCTACAATAAACGGAATGAATTAATGTACTTGCAACATTTGTAATAGCAACACAATGTGTTGTGCATTCCAAGGCCTTGTTTTCCCCAAATTGCACAGGTTTTAAGAACAGTAAAATGAAGTTCACCTCTGCTCGTTATTGTTTTACTAGTTTGCTGATTCCCAGTATTTATCCAAGCAGCAGCTAAGGTTGCTGAATTGATTTAATATTCTTACCCTATAATTTTACACTCAGACTACATCCTGCTGTGAAATAGCTGGTGCTAATGTTAGTCCAAATGCTGCCATGGGACTTAGGACAGGATAGGGCCTTTCAATAGCTGTATTTTATGGCTACAAGGAGAGAGAAAAAATATAATTTATCTGGTTGCTGTGGTTAATTCACAGTTTCACAGCAGAGGTATACTGTTCCCTCAGGGTACATCTAGCTGTATTATAGGATATTTCATTCACAGTTTGTCTGAGACATTGCTCTAGCTCTGAACCTACCAGTTTATGAGAGTGAATCCACTCTAGAGATACCTGTATACACTTTAACACCTACTGTTACATACTAAGAATATTACAGAAAAGAAATAAACTATCAACAGATCAATTGACAATGAGCATGCAAATTGTTTCTTTGAGGTGGGAAGGGGATTAAAAAAAGAGTGCATCAATTTCTTAATAGAGCCTTCTTTTCTTAAAGTGATAAAATTTTACAAAAAGCATCGGTGAAATTTGTTTCTCTTTTAAAATACCTCACAGCTTTAAAAGTCAGAGTTCAAAAATTTTAAAGCTGTATAAGTTTCCTCTACAGTAACTTGCAACAGACCCAGCAGATGAGTAGGAGATGCCAGTGGTACCTGGCATCCTCTATCACTGTACTTATGAGAAGACCTACACTCCTCATGGCATATCATTTCTGAGCACTCAAAAACCTGTTCTTAATGGAGATTAATAAGAATATTTTGATATTTAAAACATATTTGTTCAAACTTATGCATTGCAAATTATTAAGCCAGTAACTGCACAGATAAAATCTTGTTTTTTTTTTCCAGACCTCACCATTACAACAGCACTGGGGAAAGCATTTCCAGAGAAAAAAATGTCTGCAATTAATCCATTTAATTAGTTCCACAGAGACAAGACAGCAAGATCGATTGCAGCTGTGCAGATCCCTCCTTGCCTGACCTCAGCTGCCCTTGCCTGTTCTCCTTTGCTCTCTCTACAGAAGAAGGTATTTCTGGAAATGTTGGGGAAATTCTGCTACACCTCTAAACAAAACACTGAGGAGGGGTGTCAACAGCAGTTTTCGATCTTGATGCCAAGACTTTTGCATAAGCTTCACCCCCTTAGGATGGCCTGTGGGCAAAATACAGCATGAATGTCTCAGCTCTTATGGGACACATCATACAGCAAATTAAAAATAAAAAATTGTTCTTTTTGTGTTTGAGAGTTTTCAAGGTCACCAACATGATATTTTGAATTCTAATCTTCCACACCCGAAGCACATATTGTCCTGTTGGGTGACTCATGATTGCATGCTTGACATTATCTTTCAAAATAAAGGTGATGCACATCTAGGCTCCCACTGAGTTCAGTGGCCACATCCATAAAAGTGCCTGCAGAAAGATATTCACACAACTGACTCACATGCTACAGTTTAAGAGTGACAGGCAGGCTTCTAGCCTGCCATTTACAGAGCAATTTATCACACTGCATCATCCCTCCTCTTTTCTCATGCTTCCACGTGTGCTTTACAGCTGGCACTGCAGGACTGTGGAGAACAGGCCTGGAAGCTCCTGTGAGGGATCAGGCTCCTGTGGTGCTCCTCACTGCAGCTGCTTAACCTTGCCTGAAACCCAGAAATGATGGTAATTCTATAGACCACCACTTTATTGTCTTTCCTACCATGAAGCTGTTTCTAATGTCCAATTGAAATTGTCCCCCTCACAATGGGGGCAGAAGCTCACAGATTCCTTGCAGACCCCTTTCGTGTATCCAGCACTTCCTTCCCCTGTCTGCTAACAGCCTTGCCTGCCCCACCTGATGCAACAATCTTCCTTGCAGAAAAGGTGAATCACATAAAAAAAACCCGAGTCCTCTCTTATTTACACCTGGAGATACATCAGCCTGCTATAAAACTATATTTGCTTTTTATTTACAGGGCAGCTGAGAGCAGAACATTGATTCATGAAATTCAGATGAAGGGTGGCCATGTGGGGCACAGGAAGAAGCTGGCTTCAAATATCTGGCAAGAAGAGATTTGATAGTGCAATTACATACTCCTGAGAATCCATTTAAGATGATACAAGTCCCTCAGTCATGTGGATTCAAATTTACAATGGCAAAGTCTGTTGTAGCTGGTACAAGTTATTCAGGAATCACTCTGTTAACACCAATGGGATGGCTCGGGTCTGTACCTGAAGCAAAATCTAGACAGTCCTATTTCCTTGAAATGGGACATTCTTGGAATGTGAAATAGCTGGTGCTATTGGAATGTGCTTAATGATTTTGGTCCTGATGCTCTATAATTAGAATTAAAACTGCTATTTTCTGAGCTTTCTCAATATCCTGATAGTTCTGGAAATCACCACAGATCTGCATTTAAGCTTGGCAAATACTTGTTTCCTTTCTGAAGACAAAGTATATTACTTTGTCAAGTGGTAGGTCACTACTGGCCTCACCAGAAAGGAAATAGAATCTTGTAGAATTCTGTTTTGTGACGAAAAATTAAACCTAGTATTAATTTAAAAAGAGTAAAAGTAACAGGCATATAATGAGAGAACATGTCCCCTTCCACAGTCAACCTCTTAACAGATCATCCAGCATGCTTAAAAAGCAACTTTCCATCTGCAAATCTGTCTCTCTTTTTTGTCTAATGAGCCTGAGCTAGTCTGTTCCAAAGCCCAAATGGGCATCTTGGGGCCAATTCAGCAGCAGGGGCTCTGTTACTATAACAGCTGACAAGTCCCTTGATTTCTGAAAGACCCTAAAGGATCCACTGGGGAAATGGTTATGGAACAAGAAGCTGGGGAGGGATGGTTGCAGGTGCAGGTCCTGGGCTCCTCTGCCTCAGCCCTTCCCACATGGAGCCAGCCCCGTGTCCAGCAGCCTTGGGGTCAGCTGGCTCAGCTCCCCTGCAGGAGGAGACGATAAAAGCCCTGAGCCAACACCACTAAGTGCAGCAGTGGCACACTCCAGTTTGGTCTTGGGCTCTACCTGTGGGCTCTGGCCCTTGCCCCAGGCAGTGTCCTGCTGGGTGAAAGAGCACAGATGCTGCCAGAGAAGTTTTCATATTCATTTTTCTCATAAAGGAAGAATGATGAACTCTGAAAGTATGGTACCAACAGCCAGAACAAGCAACCAGTGGCTGCCCTGAGCATCTGGCTGGAAAGTGAGGATCTGATGTCAGCAGAGAGGATGAGGTTGGGTCCCAGAGTGGGATAAGAGGGAGCTGATCACAAGCCTGCTTGCTTTTAATTAAAACAAGCAGCATTTTGAGATACTAAACACAGAAGGGCCTAAAATTCAATATCTTTCCCTCTGGCACTGGCAAAATCACACACAGCCTGGATCCTCTGCAATAAGAGTTGAAGTGCTTTTCCTGCCTTGCCTAGATTGAGAGCAGGAGATCAGAGGACTCCAAATCAGGCTAGGCTGCATCCCATTTACCAGGCAGTGATCTGCCCCCTCTCCATCCCTCATCATATGAGACGAGATGTGGCCATTCCCAGAGGAAAACAAGGGCATGCCTTGTGCAGTACGAGCAAGGCACAGCTGGGCATTAAACAAGGAGATGGAAGCTGCAAGAAGTTTCAGGTATGACACTCACCTCCACGTTTTCCCTTGTCTGCCTGGGGAGCTGCCTGTCCCAGGGAGAAGGGAAGTCTCTTGCCCTTGTCAATTCTCCTCAGTGCCCGTGGTGACCCAGGCTCTGGGGCACTGCCATCCCAAGATGAGCACAAGTGCCTGGACGTGATCCTCAGGCATTGCTGAGGACAATGTTGGAGCGAGCATCCCCCTCCATCCTTCTCATTCCTGTCCTGTGCTGCTCCCTCAGTTATGCTGGTACAGCTCTGTCCTGTTACTACATGAACCAGACTAGGAGCTAATCTGGTTTAAATCAGGACATGAAAACTCCTCTCATTTTTTTAAAAAGTTGTTTTTTTCTTTTTTTTTTTTTTAACCATGGATTATTTCACAATCCAGCTCCTCACATGGTTGTACAAACATTTGCAATGGGATCACAGAGGGCAGAACAAGGGCAGGAACAGAGGACCCTGCCTGAACTGCTGCTGCTGAAATAAATACTCATACAACTGCATCTGAGGCATTCTTAAAATTAACACCCAGGGTCTCAGAAAGTGTTACCACTCAACATCCTCCATGGGTGAGAAAATGAGAAGAATCACAAACATTTTAGAGTAAGCTGAAAGAAGCTTTTATCATTGTAAGAAAAGAATTTTACAATGGTCTGTAAATTTGCAATATTCCTTTTCCAATCAGTATAGTAGATGAACAACACATTGTGTACTCATAAAATAAAACCCAGAGGTAGGTTCAAATAACAATTTCAGCACTTTTTACAACCTGGTACAGGCAGAAGTTTTTTTTTTTTTCTTTTCCCCCCAGTTAAGTTTTAACACTCTCTTAGCTAAGCAGCTGTGCAAGCTCCCCAGAATTTAACACCAAAAGGTAGTTGTCCAAGGCATGGTTATTAGACATGGTAAATATGAGGGTTCTTTATGCTGCAGCTTTTGTTGCTATATTACAAGTTGATTTACAAATACAGCTGACTAACCTTCTTCAGTGCTATTTCACCAGTGTCAGAATTCAGATGCTGAAATATTGAACACCTGAGCTTGCTCCCAGTGACACCTTTGCCACTGAGTTCAACAACAATACTCTCAACCCGTAAGTGACTTGGCCTGAGGTCCCCACAGAAATCAATGACCAAGTAAAAAAAAACAACCCATCTCCTGGTGGTTCAGTGTAATTTCTCCTGCACAGAAAGGCCCTCTCAGAGAAGTACAAGGCTCTGTCACAGGACTTGTCCCAATGATTCTGTTCAATTTGGCAGAATGCTTAACAAAAACCTAAGAAAACTCTCTCTGTCTACTAAATTCTATAGGGTTTTGCCTAAGGAAAATTAAAGACATCTTTTTCCCAAGCTGTCTCATATACACACACAACTATAAAACAAGCAATGCAAGCTTGCTTGCTCTTTGAAAGGCAGCAGCTGCGTTGTTCCAAAAATCCCCCCGAAAGTAAACATATTAGCACTGTATAAACAGCTTGATTTAATAAGAAATGCAGTACAATATTCCCACTTTGTCTTTGGGATCACGATGTTGATGGTGGCAATAATTCAAGGTGAATTATGGTATCAGTTCAAAAAAAAAGAAAAAGAAAACTCTCCAGCTATAGTCGTGAATGAATTTCATCGTCTTAGCTGAAAATGAGAAATGGCTATAATTTAGTTCCCATTTAAAAGTTGCTGTTGGCTAAACTCTAAAATCTTAATTGCTTCTTAATATTCTCTGCTTATTTTTTCCCTTTGAAACCACAGTCTATAGGACTGTAGTGTTTAGATTAAAAATCAGCATGAAAAGCAAACAGTGGAAGGTTACTCTCCTAAAATATGTTATTTTCCCCCCAAATGACAGAACTTACTGTGTATCAAAATATTTCAGTTGATTTCCTGACCCTAGTCACCCTCCTGCACCTGTGTGAAGATGAAAGTGACAGTGACCCTGGGTTTACCCCTAAGTGTCAATACTCAGGACTAGTTCAATTTGCTACAGAATATAGTGGAAGTTCTAGAAAAGACATGTTTCAAGCCATATTACAGCTCAGCATACTATAGGAACTCATCTTGTTGCAAAAAAAACTGAAATCACACTCAATCCCTAAATAGTTTGGAGGTCACTACCAAACACACTCTGCAGCTCTCGGAGCTCGTAGCAAAGGCTGTGAGAGTAACAGTGGCAAAGACTGCAGACAATCCAAGTCAGATTTTAAACTGACCTTGAAGATCTGCAGATGGATCTCACGATACTGAGTCTGGGTATAAAAATCACAGATGCAAAACAAATGCCCAGAAATGCAAAAATAATGTGTTTGGGAAACAGCACCTCACAACGCCCACGTTTTAATGGGCTCTAGACGAGCTAGTAGTGCTCCAGTGAAGGTCCTAAAATCCCAGCGTACAGTTTACAGAAATATTCAGTTGTCCCTACAGCACACACTTTCAGGAACCAGTATGAAAGGAAAGAAAGCTGAAAAAGAAGAGCCACTGTGCCACTGCAGAAGTGAACGGTGAATCCATATGATGAGCAAAACAAGGATCTGGTCTCCTCATCTTTTCTGTCTGCTAAAACTCAAATTCTCAACTTGATGCTAAAAGAAATCAATTTAAGCACTAGAGGTCCTGGGAACAACAGTCCATTTCATCATGCCCATGGACAGCTCAAGGATCAGCCAGGCCAGCTGCTCCTCAAGAGGAATCAAAGATGCACAGAAGCAAACTGAAACTCCAATATCATTGTCCCTGCTGCCCAGGGAGCCCAGCTACCAACAGGCCCCAGTGGATGTCGTGGCTCGTGGTCACCCTGTGATTGTGCTCTCCTCATTTTTCTGGGATAAAAGGCAGCACAATTTTTACAGCTTCATTATGCTGACCTAGTTTATCTTCCACTCTATCAACTTAAAATCACACAGGCCTCTTTGTGCAGCAGTGCCATTTAAAGTACTGAATCCAGGAAACTTTAGTAGAAAGGTAATTCAGAGCTCTGCTTGCCTGCAAGTTCCCATCCCTTTTCATTACTGAGATGGCCACCACACAAAAAAGATGGAAGTGACCCCTTCTGTTCAACATTAGTCATATTCCTTTACCATTTGTCCAGGATCCACATGAAAAAGGAACTGAGAACAGAAAATTACCTCCACAAATAAGTGAGTCTTGTTCAGAAATGGCATAGATCATTTCCAAATATATTCAGTTACAAGGAGACTCTAAAACACAGCATGGAAGCTCAACAGATGGAAAAAAGAAATCTTCATCAAACAATGACAGTCTCTTTTTCAAATAAAGGTAACAGAAAATGAAGCTTCCTTACAAGTCTTCTTCACCAAACTTATTTCTTTGCTGTATCATGGAATGAGCCACAAAGAGACCAAACAAGTTAATGCTTTGCCAAACCTTCCAAAGCAACTTCTGTAACTCCTTCTTTTGGTCCCTGGATAATAGGGCCCTGATGAGATGGAAACAAGCAGAAGACTTCCCTCTGCTTCATTGTTGTGCTTATGTCACCTCCGGTCTCAAATCATCTAATTCCACAAATGCTCAAAAATGCAAAAGCAAAAATAAAATTTGTTTTACCCTCACAATGCATTGTCAAGGGCAGCTATGTCTCTTCTGCTTCCTCTAGTTCTCTAGGTTTTGACTTCTAATATTTTTTTCTTCCACCAAAAAAAAATGCTGCTGTGCAAGAAAAGACCTCTTAGTCCAGCACGCCTATCCCTTGAGGATTATCCTTTCATCAGGAGTTTTTCTCTGCTGTGCACTTCAATACCATGTTTCCTTTCCTGAAATATCTGTCTCAAACTCGTTTTCATGCCATTTGCTTTGATGGTGTTATTCAGCAAATTATTCCACATGTTGGCCATTACATCTTAAACTAAGTATTTTTTCCTGAAAATCCAAATTACTGCTCCTTTCAAACTTCTGAATTAGAGTCTGCAGTGCTTCAGAATCTCTTTTTTCATTGCTTTAAAACACTCACAGAGATAAACATTTTATTTTTTCCTGAGGAAAGGCAATCACACTGCAAATGAAAGACTGTGCTGCTGCTTCAGTGACATGGTCTGCCCAATGTGAAATGTTACTGGGGATGATTTGTGTTCTAGTTGCTTGTTGATTTATCCTAAAACGAATGTGTATTTTTAATACACTTCTGTTAAAAATCCTCAGAACTAGACACAGATTATTTGAAGGTAGTACATATATCCTCTCAAGTTTGTTCCTTTATTTCTTGCTTCATATTTATCAAAAAACTTTGACTGCTACATAATGTAATTTCCACGTCTATATTAATTTTTAATCTTCACCAACTTTAGTATCTTTTCAGGGATGGTATTGTTACTCTTTGAGCAAATTAAACACAAATTTTACAATTATTTATCTTGCTCCACTAGCAAAATTGCAAAGAAATGGAAATGTTTTGCAAACAATGATAGGTACCAACATTCCTCTAGATAATAGCTGTTAGCATGGTATTTCAAAACCTTTCTGCCTCAGAAGAGCATTTTGTATCAACACTAGATAAATACTACTAATCCTTCAGTGTTTTGAGATATACCATATCCTTCCAGTGTGTGAGTGTGACTAAGTTTAGTACTTCAAATAAAGACAATATATATTGAAAAACAGGACAATACAATGGGATCTTGAGAACATTTCCTATTTCAGCTTTTGTGCATATACCACTGCAATTATTCACCGTCTTACTGCAAATGATGTTAATTACTTACAAATGTTAATAGAAATTCTTTTCACAAGACTATTGCTATCTACTTATTAATTCTTTCAAATGTTCTCAGCCTTAACAATTGGACCAACTAATTGTCAGCAAAATGGGTGTACTGAAAAATAGCTTGGTCCTTTTTTAATGGATTCTGCAAATATAATAATCAATGGGCTGGAATTTTTCATCAAACCTACTTTCCTCTATCACATCTAATCAGATTTTGAAATAATTCCTAAATACCTTGTAGATGGCTTATCCCTAGTTAATGTTAACTTCCAGACAAAAGAGATGCCTCTGGGTTCTGATTTTGACACAAGCAGGTGCTGAAGGTTTTAGTTTAAATCAAATGGAGAGGGATTTGTTGATGCTAATCTTGGTCTCCACCACTGAACCAACGTCCACTGGTGTGAATGACAGTGTCTCTTTGTAACAGGCAATCTTTAGTTTCAAGACCTTGCAGGCTGCACTTCTGAACTCCTCACCAATGCTAAAGAGCTTTCTGTGGAATGTGAAGCAAGCTTACTGCACTTTCTTGAAGTACAGTCAAAGGAAGGAAAGAACTGTATATGATTACATGGGAGGTTTGTGGCAAAGACACCCATGAAACCAAGGCAAATCTAACTGGGATTTTCTCCCACAACAACCTTTCCTGAAGGCCAAGAGAAAGGTAATTTTTAATAGCTACTTCAGAGGGACTAATGAGCTCTACCAAGCTCATTTTCATGACACAAAAATCAGTATTTAATACAGCTGAATAGTTAATCAACAAAGCTGTTCTAGTACCCAGAGAACTGTCTAATGCATCTATCACTGTAACTTCTAATAAAATAAAAAACATAGGACCACATTAAAAACACCACCTGAAATGTGTTTCAAATCCTAATCAGTTTCCACTGATAAGGAATCAGGCTCACCTCCAGTAGACAAGCACAGCGATGAGCAGAATGAGGCACACGAAGGTCAGTGCTGAGACCACAATGAGTGGGATGATCCATTCCATTTTACCAGGAGAAGGTCTCGTGGCCATGCTGGAGCTGTTCTTGCCAGCTGTGTGTTAAACACATAACAAAATCAATCACTGTGTGGAAGAAAGAATTACTGTATGGAAAAATGTGTAAACAAATCAAATAGCTTATCCCTTTTACATGCTATGAGTAAACAGAGCAGAGATCCTCTGACTGCAGGGTGGGACTCCATTTGTCTTCAGTCTGAGACATGAGAGCACAGAAGTATGGTGTTTATTGCCACATATGGCTTGGATTTTACTACTGCCTGTAATTACGGTCTCATAGACACTTTTAGGACTCTTTCGTGCAAGCACCTATTATCAGATGTGGAGTACCCCACTGAGCCAATGCTGTGCTCTGTCATCAGTGTTTGCAGATAAATGTACTCTGTTTCTCAACAGTGCAGGACAGCCCTGTTTGCAAAGCTCCATGTAATACTTTGCTTTAGAAATAAATTTCTTGGTTAACTATCTTAAAATAAAAAATCCTCAACATGTTGGGTGTCATGTCACATCATTTGCAGAATTGTCACAATCTGGTGGGTTACTGCATATGAAAGCACTTTTTAGCATATGGATTGTCAAGATGGGTGGATGAATGAATGGATAGGATGTGTTGTAACTGACAGAAGAAATCATTATGCCACAGCTTTTGAACAAAATTAAAGTTCGTCAATACCCTGAGATCTGGCTGAGTTAACTCTGCTTCACTTTTTGCATGACATCTCACTAAAATTATTATATCATCTATAAGATGAATATCTAGAAGTTCTGCAAGTACTGGAGCCAATGAGCATAGACACTGCACCAATGTATTTCAAAAGATATCTAATTTGTGCAAATTCATGTGGACTTGATGAATAAATTGGTTTAGACAGAATGATAAAAGAAAAATACAGAAGCGGATTCCATATCTTATTCATGTTTCCTAACAAACAGGCAGTGGTTGATCAATACCTGTCAACAGGACATAATGGGAAAGGATTAGTACAAACAGCTTCAGATTTCAAGGAGGATTGAAACATGCACACTTGACTTCTACTTTTAAGCCTGTGTGAGTCTTTCCTTACCAACATGCTTCCTTGCCCTCGTTCACTATTGTATTATTATATCTTCCAAAACTGCTGCAAATCCTACCAGAAGAACATAATTGCCTTTTCACCATAGGCAGGCAAAACACAGATAATTGGAAGTCACCAGATGTCACATAATATGAAGTCATACTCTATTTTAATAGCATTTAGATTATATTCCTCCATAGGCAGGAGTAAAATTCAACTAACGTGGAAGTAAAGGTTAATTGTAAATGCTTTTGCCTGACTGCTGAAAACAGAGCAAGGCTGCAGGCTGCTGCAAGCCCAGCAAGAAATCTTCCTAGCTTTGAGAACTAGGCTGATAGAGGTAATGCCCTTTAGCAAGCAGCCTAAATGACGTGCTAATCAGAAGGATGTTTGGGGGAAGTGAACACACACTTTGATTGAACATCTTTGAATTCCTTGACTAGCAAAGAATAAGGAAAAGAGCAACCCCAAATTAGAGCAAAGGATTATTCTCTGTATTTGCCAAACTTATGAAATGCTAAGTCTTGAGGCATCAGTTATTACCAGTGCATTTCAAATAATTTAAGAGCATGAAAAAAGTAAGCCTGTGAGGTGTTATTAATCAGAATAGTAAAAGGGACAAAGCAAAACACCATGTAATGTAATAAAACTTTGTAGGAGAGCCAAATAGTCCCACCACCTTATATCCATTAGGGTGTTGCTTCAGTACTCTCCAGTGACAGTATTCTGTTTAGTTTCACCTCCACATCTTTCAACACAAAACCATATGTTTCTGTTTGCATGGGAAGAAAATTCAATTCAATTGTAAGCACAGCATGGGCTGGAGTCCCAATGAACACTATTAAATTCTGCAGTGCTCACAATGCTCCTCTTACTCAGTCTAGTGTGGAGAAGACACTTATCTGTCCCTGCCAACTCCCCGTACCACAGATGTGAGGAGAAGAAAGTGCTCAGTATGCTAAGTGCCACAATAGCAAATGCTATTCCCTAA